TTTTTTCTTCTAGACAATATTTGTATCTGTTTACACAAAAAAAGCTATCTTCTGTATCTATAATCAGGAAACTAATATAACATGCTTGTGTATTTGAATGACTGAAGGGTGCCAACATAAATACATGTAGTTTTTTTATTGATTTTAAAGGCCACATGATTTTTCACATTTTCAATTAAACTGAAGTAACAGGACAACCAGTGTTTCAAAATCATCCACAAAGTAAACAAATGTAGTGAAATTAAAAAAGGAATTCAATATTTACAGAGGTTATTTTCATAAGATAGATAGATATAATATATGGCTAATAGTTTTTATCTTGATTGCTTGTGACACATTTTACAGTTTATATGCATATTAACTCCCCAGAGAGCAGATCACTACAGTTACTAAAGCAAAGACAACAGACATCATGGGTGGTTTCTACCTAACAAACTGCTACTACAGATGATTTTCAAGGAGTTAACAGAAAAAAAAACACATTTCAGAGGGCAGAATGCATCAGACTATCACTCAATAAAAAAAGACAAGATAACATTTCAAAGAGTTAATGAAGCAGTGTATTGCATCTGCTCCTATTTAGGATACAGATATTTATACACTGTAAGGCTTAATATATTGAATTTACACAATCTGAACAAGTTTATTTCCATTTGCATAAGACAGATCAGTAATTAATCACTTCAACAAAAAACATGGTTTGAATAAATCTCAATCTCCTGCTCTGACTATAAGTAAACATGAATGGAGGAATAGATGAATAGAAGAAACTGAATGTGGGAGTTTTTTGATTTATACATTCAGCAGGTCAATTAATGCTTTCTAGTGTATTCTTTAGACCAAAAACAGCTTCTCTCTAGTATGAAAAAGGTCTACTGAGTGTTGTGCTAACATATAGAGAAGAGAGCAGCATCAAGCTCGGAGACTAACTGAGGTCACATTACTGTGCGAATTGGCTTTAATAGCAACAGGAAGATGTAAGAACTATTCAGATTCAGATTCAAGTTCGGGTTCCAGTTCCTTTTCTATGTCTATCCAGGAGCGTCTCTTGGCACTGGGGAAGTCCTTACCTAAAGCACCTCGGGTTAAAGGCCGAAATGTATTCACATCTCCAAGTCGGGTGGTTGTTGCAGGACTTCCCTTGGGTCTAGTGTCAGGGCTTTTAAAAATGGGAGTAAGTCTGAAAGGGGTGTTCTTGTTGGACTTAGATCGACCACGTCCTGCTGGCATAATTGGAGGACTCCACAGTTCTACCAACTTATTATTATTATTCTTCGGAGGCCTTCCTCTGCCTCGTTTGGCTGCCACCGGGTTGTCTCTAACCATTACTGGGGTTTTCTCAGCTCGTGTCTTAGTCACCTCCAAAGCAATCTTTTCACTTCGTCTTTTTCTAACCAGAATTGATGTTACACTTTCACTGACGCTTTTACTGGTGTCTTCCACCGCGGTATGTTTTACTTTTTCACTAACGGGGGTAACTGACTGCTTTCGAGGCCTGCCCCTGCTCCGGCGGACTACAGGAGGGCTCTCATCAGGTTCCGGCTTAACAGAAGTAGGAATCTGACCCACACGGTTAAAACTCAAGCAGGCAGCTGCCCGTGTTTTGTTCACGCCCACCCCTGCGCCGCACTCCTGGCTGTTCTCCACAGCTTGCGGAGCCGACGAAGGCCCAAAGATTGATTGGTTAAGGAGGGCGAGCTCAGCCAGGGGGGGGTTTACACCTGAACGCTTTGGTTCAGAGTTGGAGGGTTGTGCAGTTTTGTCCTCCTCCAAAACACAACTGTTTTCTGAACTCGAGGGGTGCTCAGATTTAGAAAAGCTTTTCTCTCTTTTCTTGGACGAGTCAGCATCAGAAGGCTGCATATTAACCTCTCCTTCTTCTTCCTTCTGCTTGGGATTCAAGACCATGAGTGTATAGAAGCCTTGACCAACTGTGAGAAAAGAAGAAAGTATATGTGTAAGATTATAATAATACATATAATTGACGAGAATTTTATTAAGGGATTAAATGATGGCTGGAGCAAAATGTCTTAACCTACTTGGTCTCAGAGAAGAGGGAAGTATGATTCTGCCGGTCTTGGTGCGAATTAGAGGAAGAGTGAAAGGCTGTGAAGGGTTGGAATTAGGTGTGGAGGATGTAGGTGAGGCTCCATCCTCAGGTACCTTCTGTTGGCCCTTGAACATAAGCTCATGTTGGACTGAGGCAGCAGGTTCAACTGGCTGGTTTGTTGCCTGTGATGAGGGTGCAGTGAACTCCGCCTGGGCTGGAGAGGAGAACACTGCCTGAAGCCGAGACTGTGGCGTGGGCTTGGGTGTCTTGTCTATACTGTTCTGGGCTGCAGCTGTGTGTGGGTTGGCCAGAGATGGAGCCATGTCCAAGTCAGGCTGTAACAGGGGTGTGGGCTGGAGCTTGGACTGAGGAGTAATGGCTTGCAGTAAAGCAGCTCTGGACTGGAGTAGATTGGAAAAGAAGGGCTTCCATTTCATCGTCTTTTCTCTCATCTTCTGCCTGTCGCAGATCTCCTTCAGCTTGTGTTTGATCAGCGTATCGGACTTCCCTAAAAAGGTGAAATTTCATATTTTATTAACTCATTCAAAATCAATGTTGCTTTGTAAATGTTATCAGGTACAATATTTTGAATTGGTTAGTGGTGCTCTTTATTAATGATTTAAAACACTATTAGTTCAAGTCAGACACAACAAGCTTCAACAAATCTAAATAGCACATATATCAGCACGAAGTGTGACTAAGTTCATAATGCAAAAACATGCAGCAACACAAACTGTACATACCAGACAAAAGAGAAAGCTCCTTCACATATAAAGCCTGCATCTTAATCAGCCTCCTCTTCGTCTCCTCCAGACGTTTGGAGGACTCAACCAGATTTTGGATTTCTTTATTGGCCTGCAAATGAAACAAAACAGAAAAGAGAGTGAAGATGGTGACATGGAGCTGTGAATAGAATATCTTGTCAAACTTGAATGAGTATGAATAGTGAAGTGGGGAAATTGTTTATCGGCAAAACAGTCTGTGTGGGCTGCCATACACAGATCTGCAACGTGCATACATCTATCTGAAATATCTTGTGAAGAGTCATTCCTTACTCTTCTTTGATGCCAGCTGGTAGCATGCAGCATTGTACCGAATTAATTACAACTTCGATGGGCACATTAGAGGGAATTTAATTCAACAGTTTCTACTGTCAAATTAAATAACCCAAAATCGTAAACAGAGATTTAAAAATGTCTCCTATAATGAGTTTTTGTGAGTGTAGGCTAAATGTAAGTTTGTTAAGTTTGCATGTAGAGTATGTTTGCTAGAAGTGGTTAATTGAAATTGGTTCAAACAAGTTCTAACTATTGTTAATTAAACTAAAACTAGTAATTGCACACTCATCTAAAGGCTCTGTAAACCTATTTTTTGTAAAACTTCTTTCTGTGAGCCAATTTCTTTTGTTTTTTTCTTGTTGTTTTATGTTGTTTGTGGTCCATCAGAAGTGAACATCCTGACTGAGCAGTATGTGGAACTGACCAGGGAGAGGAGGGTCAGCCTGGGGGCCCGGGGGTCACTCTTAAGGACGTTCTGGAGTTTGATGAAGAGGGCCTTCTGTTCACAGCGCCTTTGCCTTTCTAGCACTGAGTGGTTCTTCCGCCTCCTTTTATCCTTGGACTCGCCTAGTTTGCCACCAGTTTCATCCTGGAATGGAGAGACAGCGGGGATGATAATACATACAACTAAAACTAACCCTACTCTCATAAGTCTAAGATAAACAACAATTACACTTTAACTAACTAACTTTACGTTAGGTTTATTGAGAGAGGATAATGATGTGAGATTGATATTGGCTTTATCAAGATATTTACTTTGGAAATATCTATTTTGCTGCATTAGAAAAAGGCTGCTACGGCGGTGAAAAGGTCGTACCTGGATGCAGAGTTCCCTTGCTGATCCCAAATCATCACTGGAATCCCTGAAGGTAGACAAGAATTAAACAAAACTTTAAGGGACAAAATGCTAATACTTCTCATTCAACAGAACATATGCACAGGTCCACATGCCGTATCTCTATTCATTTACAAGCACACACGCATTCACTTGTATTACCGTGACTCCTGTGATGCTTTTCTCACAGCTTCTTTCATTATAGCGATGGCTTTTCCTTGTCCTACTTCTTCTACAGTCTCAATGTCCACGATCTCCTCCTGAAGAAAACAACATTCAGCAGACAGTTTTTAAAGTTGTAACAGTAACTACATTTACAACATGTTGCTTATGCATTGTAATTCAAACTCAACATTTCAAAACACATTTCAGTTAGAGAAAGAAATGTTTAATTAAAAACAAAAACACTTACATCTTCATCCCCCTCTCCACCGTAGTCTGAGGAGTCGGAGCTTAAATCTTCTGAAGCAATGTCCAGGTTTGATTCCATCTGCCTGTTGTTAGCTTCATCAGTCTCCTCCGTGGGCATCTTTTCATGACACATCAGCTCAGAGAAGGATCTAGGTTCCAGCGACTTGCTGCTTAATAGTTCCTTAGCTCTCATAAAGGTGTGCAAACCAAGCAAGTTTGCAGGTGAATCAGCTGCTAAGTTTCCAAAATGAAACAAAGGCTCTCTTGGTGGTGAGGCTTTATCCACTCCGGCCATGTTTGTAACGTTCTCAGATTTGGATTGTTGCACAGCTCCGTTAGCTCCAGGCTTAGGGAGCTGAATGAGGGTGAAGCCCCCAGGCAGGGTGACTCCTGGTAGGTTCTGGTCTCTGGTGCCCTGGTTAGCTGGAGGGCAGATTCTGAATGAATAGGTGCCACTCTGTCCTAAGAAGCTGGGGGTTTTCAGTGATTGCGAGACGGTGAGAGAGACGGGTGAGGACGTAGAGCTGTTCTGGAAGAGGTTGACAGAGCTGCGTTGGCCCGAGGCAAATGTCTGGACAGGGCTGATGGTTGAGTGGTTTTGTGAATGTTGTGGTAAATTGATGGATCCCTTTCTCCAAGAGTCTGGCTGGGGTAGCTGAACTGAATCAAAAAAAACAATGCAGGGCAGGACAGTGAGACAAAGAAACAATTATCATATTTCTACGAACCTCCTGTGATTATTCTGGATATTAAAATAATTTAAATCTTTAAAGCTGAATTCTAATCTAATCTCGGGGAGTAGAAAACGTAAGGGGCTATGTTTAATGGGGGCCAGATTAGGGCTTCTACGTATAACATGTAGAGAATGCACAGATACAAGATTGTAAGTATATACTTAATTCCTCCCAACACTTATCTTGGAAAAACTGACACTCCTGGTTTTATCTTTTGGAAACTAGATTCATAGCTAGTATATTAAAGTGGTTTTATTTCCTTGGATGATTTCAACATTAGCAGTAGCTGCAGGTGTGTCTGCGTTGGAGGGTTCTTGAGTTGATTACTTTTCCCTCCTTTGGGGAGCAATCAGTTTAAAACGAAGTGCCTGTGCTGTGGTCAGAGAGACGGATTTACCTGGTGGCTGTGTTGGTGTCTTCAGCTCAGTGGTTTTCCTTGCAGTTATAATTGCAGGGACTACTGAGCCAGCAGCCTTTATGTGCAGGGGACCAGGAGTGTTGATTTTGTTTGTAGGGTCTGATTTCTGAGAGTTCTTATGAGAAATGTCGGCAGGGGCATGCAGTCGGCCTGTGACGTATGCGGCAAGGCGGTTGGCTGGATGTAAAGACCCCATGTTCCCCAGCAACAGTCTGGCCTGATTGTATGATTTGCCATTTACCTGTAAATACATATATATTACTCACATACATTTTAGTGTACATTTATAGCAATAGTCTGAATAAATGGCATTTCTTAGAGTCTGACCTGTATAAGTCCATACGCTAAGCAACCAACAGGTTTAGTCCTGGCTCTCAGTCTGCCGGCAGGTAACACTCCACTCAAGAAGGGTGTGACTCCAAACTGCATCTCTGGCTCTTCAATTTGGCCATCTTCCTCTTCTGGATCAATGTCCCCATCGAGGCTTTTATTGGCATGCCTTTCCTCATCACTTTCATCAAATTCATCTTCATCAACATCACTGGCTTTTGATGGTTTACTGATGTGCACCTAAAAGAAAATTCAAGTTATGAAATCCATGTGTAGGACATCCACTACACATTTAAACAATCGCTGAGAGCTTATAATATACAGAGTCTGGTCTGTTTAAGATCAGCTGTTGTTTATATTATTTAAATAACTAATACTCCAAGGCAATAAACCAGTCAGTTAAAATTAACATATCCTAACTATTTAGGAGGCAAGGATAATACTGACAACGACACGGATGCATTACTCTTCAGAGACCCACCCTGTAGGTGATGATGGAGCCACTGGGCTTCTGCATGAAGATCTTGGCGACCGGGCGGATGCAGTAAGGGCCTATGCAGAAGGTCTGACACAGCCTATTCTGATTCATGCGTCGACATAAAGTTTCCAGGACCATTTTGTGATCCTTGTCCCACTGACACGCTGACTGGATCTGGATTTGCTTTTTCGATACCGTTTCGTCGGACGTGGTCCCCTGAGAAGAGTTCTCTGCTGGGGGACATAATGAATTATGGTTGAGTGTGTTCAATGCAGTGCCAAAAGCAAGAAAACTAAAGATTTAATCTCCAGGGGCTGGTGAAACATTTACAGCACAAACTAAATTTGCTTTGGTTCCTTACCTGCTTTTTTAACAGTCATTATAGTTCTGTAATACTTTTTCGGCAGGTCATCAGTGGTTGTCTTCTCCGGTTTCGCTGTGGTGTTTGGTGTAGAAGTACTGACGATCTTGGGCTCTATGGTGACTACAGGAGGAGGCTTGCTGTTGAACTCTCTTACACGTGCACATGTCATCATGCTCTCCAAGTATTTATAAACTGGATCTTTATCCTCTTCTTCAATCTGCAATCATGATTTTGTTCAAGTTAAAAAAACACAAGGAACACAAGGTCTACAAAAAGCTCTTATATCTTATACTATAATTAATGAATAATTAGCAATATATAAGACTGTAAGGCATGAAAAGAGGTTGAAAGTGTCTATTAATGGACAAAGAGAGATATTGTATGTTACCGGTTGCGTTAGACGAGATACACTGCTGCGTTTTAGGATCTTTGAAGGGACTGAGGACAGAGCAGCACTTTTGGGGGCGAAGGTTGGTTCTGGATCCACATCATAAATGCCGTGGTTCCACAGTTTATTAACATGGGAGCCCGGGTGAGGCGGGACCACATGTTCCATATTTGTCACAGCTGGGGACGGATAAAAGCATCTCGTTAACACTTCTTCGAGTTAGTGAGGGTTGTGACCAGAGCAGGGAACGCAATGTGAAAACAGAAAGAAATTCTGCCATCTATGTATGAGAGCGGGAGAGAGAGAACACCTTTGAATCAAATTCAGCGATCCAATTGCTCCAAAAGGTATTTAAAACTCAAAACATAAAATCTATCACTGTAGAAATATAGCAACCAGAATAAAAAACAAAAAACAAAACACAAATTATATGAAATAACTTCATCTTACAGTAAACAGGCTGGATCTGTTGTTCACTCTCCCCCGCGGCATTCTGCTTGGTGATCTTGCGTTTGAAGCATGCACAGCCAAACATGCATTCAGGCCGCCGGCAGTGGAGGGGACCCCTATTCAGATGCTGGAGACTGGAACACACGCAGCCCAGTCTGCAGAAGTCTCGACCACATTCAGGTCCCTCGGGTTTATACTTTGGATACCGGGATACTTTCAAGACCTGATTGGCCTGCATCTGATTAAAAGTAAAAGAGATTTATACTCTTACTTACCAATTTATATTTCATGTTATAAAAGCAAGAGTTTAGTATGAAAGAATGTGACAAAAACTGAAATCTGCACTGATATCGCCTATCACTAACGTCAAATGACATGTTGCATACCTGTTTGGTCAACATTACAGACAGAGCCATTGACAGCCTGTCTTGTGTCAGCTGTGTTCTGCTCAGACCCTCGTTCTGAGCTCCAATCTCCATCTGCAACATTTTCAATTGGAACTTAGTGAGGCCTGGAGGTCTGTGTGTCATCCCTTGGCTCTGTCCAAAGCTCAATGCTGATCTCTGGCTGACCCCTATGTGCTGTGTGATTAATCTGAAGAGACAGGACGAAATGAGCAAATTAGTAATGTTCATTTTAATTTACTAAAAATCATTTGTATTATTTACTTCTTTATAAAACAATCGCATAATCAACAAAGCATGTTTATATGGAAAGCAAGAAAACTCAACAAAGTCAGAGCATGTGTTGCTTTTCAAAGTGCTCTCTTAAGGGTTAGAAACAATTTACTGATACTGATTTTGCAACATTCATAGTGTGCATGTATATAAGTGAAAAATATGGAATTATCCTCAAATAAAGCATGCTCAAATTATGCTGCAATCGGGGGTTTAATTAAAGTCCACATAAAATTAAGACACAAGTTGACCAAGTAAGACCTTAGCTCAAAGGTAACCATTTTTTCTAGACATACAGACATATGAAAATAAGAAAATAAATACATATTTTCATATATATATATATTTTCTTTGACCCTAAAAATGAAGAAATTACAAACGTTCCTACCTTTCTGAAACCGAAGAAGTGTAACTGGAACCAGGAGCAGCATTTACTGCCAACACAGGTCCTGGCTGCGCACTCGATGATGCACACTGCAGTATGGACTGAGCTCCTGCTTGACCAGGGGGCTCAAGGCTGGCCAACGGAGGGGCAGGCGACATCAGGGCAGAGTAGAGGAGGGGTTTGTGGGAAAGGGGGCATGGTCTGTTGGCTGCCACAGGGACTGTGGAAGCAGCGTTTCGATGCTTGAGGACGCTGTCCAAGGTCTTTACGTAGCTGGAGCTTTTAGCAGGTAACTGATAGGCCACAGATCCTGCGGAGTTTGAGGAGAAGGCAGCAGCACGCTCACTGATATACTGGGCTTCACTTTCCAAATACTCATCCAACATGTTGCTGCAGAATGCTGATAGGTTCTTTTGGGATCCTTTAGGAGAGGGAGAATAAAGTTTAAGAGAATTTAATTCATCAATGAGAAATAATTAATCAGACACAAGTACATTCAGTTAGTGTCAGAGCTGTTAATCTTCTGGTAATTAGAATGACTACACTAATCCCATTGAATGATAACAGGGACACTGCAGCTACAACAAGACAAGCAAACCTTACCATCGCAGTGAGGAGGAGACGTTTCTTTGTTTCTTATGAACTTGTTTTTCCATCCCTTTATTTTTGTCATGTCGCTTGTCTTCCCTGTTCGGGAGATGAAGGGTAAACCCTCATCTGTGAAATAAACATACTGCATTAGCCTTCAGTTACAAGGACACAGCGCACTATGTTCAATGCTTCACAATGTCGGTTTAATTGCTGCAGTAGAAAATCAGGTTTTCACTTAATTCTGTTGTCATTTAATTCTCTTTGTTAAAAAGTTAACTATATTTCTTCAAGTATGCAGAATGTTTACTGATAGATAAAAATCTTCAAATTGCAGAACAGTGGGCAACAACATTTGGGGAGCTGTTAACCACTTCCTGTAGTTCAGTTCTCTGTTTTTCCTGTGTTCATTAGGAAAATGAATTCTCTATCACTCAGTGTAAACACCTCTGAAAACAATGTCACATTGACTTACTATGTCAAATTAGTTAAACAAGAGAAACGTTGCAAATAATGTGACCTGGTTCTGTTGACAAGTATCACAACATATAAATACAAATCAACACTTTATTAGATTATTTAGAATCGATGGGGAAATACTGTCCCGGACATGGATGTCATGATGAAATATAATCCACGCACATACTCAATCTACTTAGCTGAACAACCCGTTGACGTTTGCGAAGTGGTGTTACAAAAGGTTTAGAGATTGTTATATTAAAAATACTTTGAGGAATTGTCAGTTTAATTTGGTCTCCTCAGGCATCCTTCCATCCAAGGTCCCCAATTCCTAATAAATAAATAAATGCTGCTGATGTCAAAAAATCCAATAAACTAAGTTTAAAAAGAGAGAAAGAGCGAGAGAAGTGACATTACAGTGTACACAGAATGTTCACTAAGACCATAAGGGGGAGGAGACTCACATCCTCATTGTGGAGGCCTTTCAGCTTTACGCCTACGCATCTTTGATCAGTGTTATATAAAGAATGCGAAAAAGAGGTGTTCCAGAAACTACACAGTGCCAGACCCCTGCTGGCCTGGTCGATGAAAATGTCTGGCCCCAGTATTTGAAATACAAACAGACCATTTGAAAACCACTACTGGGCCATATTCTTAAACCTCAAACCCCTTTCCAGCTTTAGCTTGTTTCCTGCATCTTGAGATCATACAAAGCTCTAATCAGACCTGACTGACAAACTACAGACGAGGCTTGCAGGAAAAGGTAATTGCCTATTGTAATTTACCATGCTAAATACATTATGCATCGCAAATGTGCCGTCTAAATTTAGATTAGATTAAATTAGAGATGTTCAAATTATTTAAATATGGGGTATAATTACACGGGGCCCTTATCACTTTGCCCTTATGTATCTATGGATATGCAGAGGGCAGCGTGCCCACAGCATGGTCTCCAATCCAATCATAGCTGGTTAGACAATCCAGACATGAGGGCTTGTTTGCCCTCGTCTGAAAATATGGTAAAACATTTAACTGATGTTAAAGCTCATTGCAGCTTTTATAGGGGGGTCTGTTTACATGGAGCAACTACTATTTTTCCAGAGCCTCCCTCCATAAAATCTGTTCAATAAAATAAATAAAAAACATCATTGATTTTACATGAGGACACAGAACATGAATGTACCCTATATAAAGCACATGCAAACTGCCCAAGATCAGCCTAACTTACCACCAGGAGACATGGCATTGCCTTCTTCTGGTAGGTTTGGAGGAGGCAGTGGCAGCTGGACCCCCAGATACTGCAGGTCGATGGACTTGGTTGGGTCTAGGGAGCTCAACTTCAAACCCACTAGAAAAGAGACGAAAAGAAGTTCACAAGAGAAAAGTATTTACACTTTGTATAACATACCCAACCACTGGGATGCTCCTGTGTATGTTTGTATAAACTAACCCTCCTGCAGCACAGGATGGATGACGTGTCTGTGTTTGAGAACGTGGATGTCCTGCAGCAGGATAGCCTCCAAGCGGGTTATCTTCTCCTCCTCGGTCTCTGGAATCACCTCCACTGAAACACCACAGAATTGATTTCAAAAGGACTGTGTACATGACATTTGATTCTTTGTCAGTTCAATAAAATCAAAAGAAACAACACAAGATTCATGCAGGTTTTTTCCATTTCCACAGAATAGCAGCACTGCATAAAAGCCTTTGCTATGGAGCTAAAGGAAAGAGATCTTACTTGTTTGCTTCATCTGCACCGGTGACATTAGGGAAACTGGAGATGCTGATGATGTGCTTTTGGCTGGCTTGTCCCTGACGTGAACCTCGAGAGCTTCCTGTCACACAGAAGAACATTAAAGCTTAAAACACTTTACACAACTTTTTGCTACTCTGCACCCAAAATCATTCCAGTATGCAACGGCAAACACTATCTGATGGAATGTGTGTTGCTTCAGCGAAAACTCAACACACGTTTTTGACATTAGGTGGATAACTGGAGGAGACGGCGCCTTACATTACATAAAGGAAAAAAGAAAATAAAGGCTTCGTAGACATGCATATATGTGCAGATTATTCTTTGTAGTAATTTGTAGTGTACCTTTGAGGTGAAGGACACAAACAACAGGCCTTCTACATCATCCAGCTCTGGTTGCATAGTAACAGTAAACGATGGGCTGTGGACCACCGTGGGGGAGTCAGCCGCAGCTTTCCACTCTTTTCCCCGTGAACTTGCCCAACGTCTATTGATCCTCTTCCCCCTCTTGCGGTACCCAGGTGATGATCCCGTGGTAGGAGTTGTGGAAGTGGGAGTCGTGGATATGGCTTTAGGCAGTATCTGTCTGAAGCCCTGCTGCGCCTTAGGGGTTACACTGACAGCAACCGTTTCCTCCTTGGGTTCCAAACAGGGTCGTTTTTGGACAAGCACAAGCTCACCGAGGGCATGTTTGCCTCTTATACAGGGGACATATGGTTCATCCTTACCCGCAGTGGTGGACATTATGGGCTTCAGAACCAGTCTTGTCGCTTGCACACTTGAGAGAGAAGCGGAGACTGTGTGATTCTTTGTGCTGTAAGAGAGAAAAAAGGAATACAGTTTATTAATACTAAAGAAATAAAAGGTGAAAACGATTTAATGGTGATCTCATAAAGACATAATAGTGTATTTTAATAGGCTAATTCCAGCAGTTTCATTTCTGACTACCCATTTCCACGCTTATGTCTATGTACTTGTCATTGCATAACATGCTTACATTGTAGCATCCCGCAAATCCTGCACCTCCAATAAGGTAATAAACATACTGTGACACCAAAAAAGCCACATGGTAGGGACACAGTAGCAAACACCTCACAGTGTAATGCAATAAATATAATAATAATAAATACTGACTTTGAAACTCATTCTATTACATTCATATAATCCTCAATTTTGGTTGAGAATGCAAAACAGGTGTCAATTCACACCCACAGGACCTTTTGAGGCTGAGCTTTGTGGTGTTGTTAAGCAAATGTTCTGTTTACGTGACCTCTATTCAATTTAGTCCACTGTCATTTTGGAGCACTGTACTGTACTTCATCATATGTAAAATCAGCCCGCTGTAAATATGAATATCCTGAAAATGACCTACGCTGCCAGAATTTCTGCTCAGGAGACTTGCCATGGTTTTTCAGTTGAATGACTGGGTTTAGGTTACTTTGTTGAACTGGACACAGTGGATGTACATGGTATCAGTTATTAACACAGTTATAATAGGATGAAAGCAGCAAATCTGTCAACATTATACTAACACCAACATTAAAATACAAAAATGACATATGAATATGTATATTCTTGTTGGGAATGACTGAAAATAAGTTTCAAATGTAAAATGTAAAAACTGTCCCTGGCCATTTATTAAAATATTTATATATTATAATGGACAGTGTTCATTCCACTATAGGTTTATTAATGAGGTCATAGTTGGAGATGGTGATGTATTGGACTGCATTATATTGAAATATCTATCTGATATTCTGCCCTCTCAGGGTTTTAAGGGGTGGGCAAAACATTAGAAACACCTCCAGTCAGGTTCAACTACAACCCTATTAATAAACATTCTAAATAAATAAATAAATAAATACCTCTCTGACAGGGTAGATCTAACCCTTTGGCTATATTTGATTACATTAGATTTAACAGGTGTACCTAATCAAGTGGCCACTGATTGTATATCAGTGTGTTACAGACAGAACAAACACCATATAAACCTTACCTCAGATCCACCACCTCCTCCTTGCTTTCCTTGAGTTCAACAGACTTTAAAGTATAAGGCTGAGCATCCATCTTCACCAGTGGTGAAGCCTCTGTAGTGACCCGCGTTAGGCGTGGGTTGTTCCCGTCCTCCCTAAAGCCTTTTGCAAACGGATTGTGATTAATTTTCAGCTGGGTGATCCGAAAGTTCTGATATGTTGTCACAGCCATGAATTCAGTTTGTGGAAAAGTGAAGGTCATGCTTTCTGGTCCCATAACCACAGGCTGGTCAGGTGTGGGTACAACCCCATCCGGGACTGGTATCACATGTAGTCTAGGAATGTAGCGATGCATGGAGTGTAGGATTATATGACCCTCCTGATCTAGGGAATTATTGGTCAATTTGAGTTTGTAGAAGGACATCTGGCCACTCATCCAATGCGCTCCTCGACAGGGTGAGTAATGGTGGGAAAAGGCCCGGATCAAACCCTGGGCCTGGTGTTCTGCTGGTCCAGTGACCTCCCACCTGGATGTGCTCCAGCGGTACCTGTACTGGTCTGTTGGAACTATGGACAGAACCAGACTATACTGCCGCTCAGGATCTAGGCCAGACAGGCGATACCGGCAGTACGGGAACATGCGACGCCCCTGTTTAGTGAGAATCATCTCAGTCCCACAGCTGAAGAACTGCTTCCACACGCTGTTGTTCTCCAGAGTGACAGTGACACCTTTGAAGGTCAGCACAGCAGGAAAGTCTGTTTCCTGGTCTGGACTGCCAAATGTGGTAGAAGGCAGCTCAGGCAACGACGGTGCTGATTCTGTTACGTTGACCACGCTCACGCCCGTGCATGTTAGGGAGTCTGACGCTGATGCTATATGTGAGGTAGCTGGGCTTGTTTCGATCGTCCCATCGAAGGCAGTAGGCGGTGCTACAGCAGGCTTGGCTGGGCTAGCTTCAGCAGGTGAAGAGAGGGTCGACCCGCAGCTGTTGCTGGCCATGGAGACAGCTTTTGTCTCCATCGCGGTGTCGCTAGTGAAATTAGGTCTTGTAGTGGTCGGAACAAGAGGAGGTGAAGAAGGGATGGTCGTAGGAGGGAGAACTGACGAGGGGGTGTTTGTAAAGCTCCCCTCCTCGTCCTCCAGTGCATGGGGGTCCTTCATTGATGTGAGTTTGTGGCAGGCGTCACCAACAGCTGCCGTCGCCCCGCTTCATTTGATACCTAACAGAAAATGATATAATAGTAATAATGTTAATTATATAGTAAAGTGTTGTTCAGAGGTTCATTTCAGATCTAATGACCTAAATATAAGTGAAACAACCATAATACAGAAAATTAAAGTGTTCCTGTAGCATCCTGTACAAGTTCTAGGACATACAGGTTGCTGATACACAACGTACAACCACATTTAATGTGAAATCAAATGGGATGAGATGGCTGTCCTCAATAATAAAGCATTGTTTTCATATCATACAAAATTAAAGGACATTCAACCATTGGTTGCTCATGTTGCTGGTTGTGTAAATGTTTTGTTACACAAAGATCACCAGGATCAAGATAGAACAGCTCTTTGTGTCCAATAGGAATATAAATAAAAACCATTGCAGAACAATTTTAGGAAAGGGAGCCCCCTCCTAAAAAATAAATTAGCTACTAATGGAGAAATTATAATTTATTTACAACCTTGGGCCATATGTGGCCCTCTGATGAGATGGTGGGTGACTTGTTTTTACTGTGCAAGGATATGTAAAACATGTATTTATAAACTATATCCAACATGACAAGTTATATAAAAAGCCTGCTTCGTAACGGGACTCATGGAAGGAGCTGAAGATGCTCACAGTTCTCAAATTTGACCATAAGTGTGGTGTCACATTAAAAGGAGGATTTGTTGTGATACTATTATTTGCATTAAAAGGCAGAATTAAAAACATAATATGGTAAATGCAATCTGGAGCTCAAAACCCCCATACACTGAGCCAGCAGGTGAAAAAATATAGCACATAATAAGAAAAGGAGAAAAATAAATCACCAAAACAAATACGCCTATGCTTGGGTTGCACCCCTTAAAAACCCTCATTATGTGACTACACTGACAGGTGGCAGAAAGGGGGTAAGGTGTGAGTGCACCGAGACAAATATGCCCCCAGAAGCTTGGCTAGGGGGGCAGTTAAAACCCATCATTATGTGCCTACACTGACAAACAGCAGAGAGGAAGTAAGGTGTGAGTATTTCTATTTGAGGGTAATGTATAATTTCTCTTCGCTGACTGAGAAAAGTGGACTTTGACTTCGAGAATTGGGCTGCGAGACCACTTTGTCTGAGTGACCGATAGGCTGTCCAGCTGAGGACATGGCTGAAATGCTCGGACGGGGGCCAGCATGTTTAAATTATGATAAAAGCACTCAAAACGTTACATTTGCAGCCTGAGTTAAATCATCTCCGTCGACGACAGAGGACAAGCTTTTAAAAACCTAACCTGTTTCCCCGTCGCCCTGCCCTCCTCGGGTCAATTTACTAATCACACAGTCACACAGATGCTGTAGCCTAAAAAAGGTGTTAATAGGCCGAACGAGAGCCACAAATCGGGAGGGGGGTATTATCTGCATGTTTACAACACAAACTCCCGGTTGTTTTCCCGTGTAACTATTTTTCCCCTCCTCAAATAATAAGCCACACTAAGAATTGAGAGTTGTCTGACAACAGCTCGTTTTTTTTCTTCCTCACACACCGAAGAAGAGGAAGGCCTCCCGCTCCACCACTCACCAAGTTGGAAAAGTTGCAGGATCCACAAACGCCTCACCTTTCCAACATCGGGCTGAAAGCCTCGTGGCCTACGGCGGCGGTACAATAACAACGTTCACGGTGAAACTCCAACTGTTGCTCGTCGTCGTCGCGGTTTGTCGGGGCCTCGGTGAGTGCCTCGAATATAAACACAAACTGGCAAATGGAGGCCGAGAGCCACGCCAGTTTGCTCGCATCGACCGACCCGAGGTTGCACTCAGTGCCAAAGCGCATGCACAATATCACCCCCACCCCACTCCACCCCCCTCTCTCGCTTTCAATGGCGCGTGATTCTCGGGCCGCCCGCGCGAGGGAAGCGGGAGTCCACCATCCCGGAGGATTTTTTTTTTTTTCCCTCTCGTGCTTGTTCCCACCTCGAGCTCAGTCCGCGCGCCGGTAAGGACAACTCAGTAAGTTTGCGCGAGGATGTTTCAGACGACTCACTCCTCAGACCTCGCGCTCGTGACTTTTTCTCTTCCTCTCTGTATTTTCTTCACTTCTTTCTACCTTTTCGATCACGTTTCCATTCTCACCCTCCTGAACCACACACACACACCACCCCTCCTCTCGGCCCCCCCCCTCTCTCCTCTCTCTCTCTCCTCTCTCTCTTCTCTCTCTCTCTCTCTCTCTCTCTCTCTCTCTCTCTCCCTCTTACACACACACACACACACACACACACACACATCCGTGCTCTCGGGCTGTGACGTAACACGTACGCCATGGCGGTGGAGCGCGAGTAGCCAATGCGCGTGCTCCTTCCAGAGGACTTTTACCGGCCAGTTGTTTCATCATGGTGTCCGTGGCGTGAGAATCTGACCCAAACACCCCCCCTCCGATAAAAAAGTTATTTTGTATCTTCAATCAGTGCGGTGTCCCTGTTATTGACCCCCCAATGACAGTGTATCAAAGTGAACCCACACCGACACCCTCAATCAATAACTTACACTTAACCTCTAATGCTAAAAGACACGCCGCAAAACAACGTCGGCTGGCTTTGTTTATCCGGTAAGATGGCGGCGAAACGTTGCAGTTAAAAATGAATATTGGCCCAAATAAAACTTTATTGCATATTAATTAAACACAACAGCTAATTCCATATTTACCTTATTCTTTCTTCGTGTAAGGGGCTCCACAGATTGTGTTGCACAGGAAACGGGAGCATGGCGATTGTTAGGCAGTGGCTATTTATTAGGTTAATGGACTGAAGCCCCTTTAGGTTTCGTCTAAAATAACCCACATATACATTAGGGGCTGTTTAGCCAAAATGGGGCCTATAGTCTACTTATATGATAAATACCAGCTTATCTAACTGAATCCATTTTCTATGAATTATTAACCCAGAGAAATCCAATCTTTAGCAAAGCTATATCCTTGATTGAATGTGCTCTTTGAAGAGGACTTAACTAAATAAATATCAAATAGGGTGTTTTAAAATATCATCTCTGCATTTTCCAGATTATTGAAATGTTGTCTAAACTTGTGAGAAATTCCACATGTCGCCACTAAAACCTTGTTCTGGCGACAGAATTATTAAACCAAACCAATCTGGACGCTGACTGCAGCTCACTGTTAGAGTCCAGTTAAAATGCAGTAATGTGTAAATGAATATTTGTTTCTGTAAAGTGAAATAACAAATGCAGTGGAGGGAAGGAGGCTTTAACGTCCACTAGAGTCAGTGGGTAGGAGAGGGGGTTGGGCGATGACCGATGGCTTGATGCTCCAAACAACACATTTAAACAAATAAAGCAGTATATATATATATATACATATATATACATATATATACATATACAGTATGCATCACGGGTGTGGACTCGGGGTTTACATCAAATGACATTTTCAGTTGAAAAATCAAATGTAATCTGAGTCGTTTGTGTTTTTGCTTGTGGCATGAAAATAAAACACAGAACAACAAATAAAAACGCTTCCCTTTAAAGATGAGGCTACAGTGTGAGTTTATAATTCAACGTGCACACACAAGAAGAACGACTGAATTATCTCAACGTCAACATTATGTTATTAAGACAGCAGGGCGGGGTCTAACCGGGACTAGGAAGTGGGAAAGAAGCCCACGTGAAGCAACCCATCTTTTGTGCTCCACGTGGAGATCTTGTCGTGATGTGGTGTTCCCGCAGGGCAGCTCCCCGGGGCTCGGTTTATCTACAACCTGTGCGCTTACTCTACAAAGACAAATTCTAGGCAATATATTTAGATGTGGGCGTGAGGGATATACCTTGAAAGGTATAGTTTACACGTGTCACATTAAGACAATACGCAGTTATTGTGCAGAAGGCAACATGAATTGTTCTCAGAACAACAGACAATTTATTATGTGTGAATATTTATTGCACAGTTTAAATATTTAATATGTGTTCTTAAAAGAGGAAGGGGTAGATATAACTAAAGCAGGGGGTAACAGTTGTGCACAAATAAATACACCACCAGACAGGTGGCTTCACATCCTTTTGTTAAAGTCGAAAACTCTAAATTAATATCTCTTATTTTTCATTATAAGCCTGTTAGAATAAAAAATATCTATATTTTTATTACCATTTCCCCACCACACTTTAGGTTGACACAGCATCAATACTGAATTTCATCTCATTCTTGTGCAAAATGTTTCTATATGTATATCAGCAGAAAATACAAAAAGTTCAGCATATGAACTGTTTAATATGTGTGTCTGTTAATTTATTTCAATACCAAAGAATACAGTATGCACTGACAGCTGCTAGATTGTGACGTCACTAAGTAAAATCAGCTGTGGCAGCATGGACAAAGAATAGTGAGCAGACTTTGTATGGCCTTTGTGAGTTCTGTCACACCAAGTTTAACATTACAATGAACAGGCATAATATTCAGCCTACCGGCACCATTTTAAAACTAGTGTGGGATTGCTTTTGAATTCAGTTTGTGGCCAGGATACATAGTTTAAAAGTGATTCATGTTTTGTCAGGATTACATTTAAGATCCAAATGAAGATGTCAAGACAGAGAAGAATAATGACCTGCAGCCAGGCTCTCCTCGGTTTATCACATCTACAGTATTTTCTGTGTATTGCTCCAGGATCCTGAGACATTTTACACATCCACTGTAGTTATTTTATGGATAACAATTTAAATTTATTTAAAAGGCACATTTAAACCCATATTACCAGAGATTTAATTTCAGCCTCCAATCATTGTAATACATCACTAAATTGGTCACAATCACACTCACCCATGTTACAAACAGAATCAATACATGTATTGAAATTCTAATAACATTCTCCCTGAACTTAACCAAACAGTCTTAATACACAAGGACACACTTTTCGCATAAAGGAGTGGGATATCAATAAATGATGTGTTCGGTGTCTACATGCGGCACACAACAGCACACACTGCTTATCCATAAATATAAAACTAGTGTATTTACATTCCAATGAGAGAGCAGGGGAGAATAGTGAAAGGTGAGTGGGTGAGTGGATGAGTGATCACTGTTGGTTCTTTCTGTGAGACGCTGTGAAGGAACAGAATTGCTTCTCACTCAGTTTATTGTACTGTAAACACAGGTCATGTTGGTTTGTACGGTGTCTGTGCCAAGAGTTTGTATACAAATACAGCCGTTATGTGCAGAATTGCACTGAAAAATAAGGTAGTGTGTGAGTGTGCATTTACCAGAGTGAAGTGTTTATTTCAGGCTGCAAGAGGACGCATCCTTCAGTGCTTTTGTCAGATTTGTTATGAGTCAGATTTTTTAAAATCACATAAAATGGGTCTGAAAACAAAATTGATTTAAAGCGTTATTTGTACCAGTGGAATTTTTTAATAAATTTTTTCAAATTAGATTTAAATTAAGCCTGAAAATTACTAAAAAATTTCAATCTAACGCAGTGAGTTAATGAAATAATATTGTCAGTTTGTAACAATGTAATTACAAAAAGCAAAAATATATGTGATTTTTTTCTGCTTAATTATATCCTATCAGTAAAAACAAGAATTTCAAACACAAGTCTGGCCTGAAGAAAAGCTTTAAATTACTTCTTCTTAAAGTTCCTTAGAGAGAACAGGTTATTCCCTATCCCGTACACATATGGACTGATGGATGTATAGGAAGTTGAGATAAAGAACTCAGTTTCAGCCCAATAAGGAAAGTCAGCTGGGCTAACAGTCAGCTGGAAGATCAGGTAGAGAGTCCAGTCCACCTGGAACAACCCCATAGCTGCCAGCACAGCCATTGTGCTTCCCTTGAGCCCCGGACCTTTGCTCTTCCTGCCGAACTGACTCGACCCGCTCACGCTAACCACTGGTGTCACCTTCTTCCTCTGGCCCAGCAGCACTGCGATGATGAGGCAGCCGGTGACTGTGACGAGTACCAAGGGCAGCACGTTGCACAGCAGGATGAACAGGTACTTGTAAAAGCGGTTGAGTATGGGACAATTCTTTTTACTACACTGAAAGAAGTCTGGAGGGCAGCTGGTGTTGTTTCTTGTGATGTTTTCCACAGGGCCTTGAAGGTTTATGGCAAAAATGGGGACACTCAGTAGCGAGGAGAGCATCACACAAACCCCACTTACCATCCAGGCTGACCTGATGCTGTCTAGGTAGATCGGGAGGTTGACCCTCTTGTCGGCGTCTTTTAGCTTCTGGTAGCGGAAGATGCTGATGAGGACTGTGAAGAAGATGCTGGTAATTTCACCAAACACAGTCAGGAACTTGAGTAAACGACACAACAAATTGCCGGTGGTGGCGGAGGAACTCTGGAGGATGATAATATCATAGATGTTCACGATGAGAATTTCCTCCAAGTTGGCTACAGCCAGTCCCAAAAGAAACAACTCAAAGGATTTAACTCGCGAGAACCTGGTCTGTGCGATGGAGAGGATGAGAAATACATTACCCACCAGTCCAATGCAAGAAACAAAGATTCTTAATCCCACGAGGTCAGCAGAGAAAGCAACCATTATTCAAAGTAAACTAGATCACACAAAGTTCACACTTCTGTGTTCTCGCCACAGAAGCAGGAAGAGCTATGACTTCCCAGCATGGAGTGAAGTTAAAGTGTGTTTTGTCTCGCCCCACTTTGCCGCATCACTGACCAAAAACCCTTGTTATCAAGTTCTCAAAGGTGGCAAGAATCCAGATCGGTGATTGGCTGTGCTCATTATAGAGAAAGGAAAACAAGAGGATGCTGGAAACATTGAAGGCTGGGAATCATTAAAGTTTTACCTCTGAGCTTTTCAAAGCTTCATCTTGAGACCAGCACAGTGTCTGAGTTAACGCGGGGGATATGTTTTTCAACTGGCTGACATCACCAAGTGCAATCCCTGCAAGAGCTCATTTATATCCTCTAACACTAGTTCTCCACTTCATATTTGTCATTTCGTGGTTTATTTTGCATGCTATATTTTGACAACAATAAAATAATCTACTTGATGACGTCTCCCCTATCACCCATTTGTAAGCATTTCTACTGATGTGTAGAGTAGTAACATTTCTGAGGGGATATGTCAAGGCCTATGTTACCTCTTAATGATATAACTGAGATACTAGTGCAAAAGCAGTGATATAAAGGATTCGACCTTGAGAAACGCAGCAGCTTATCCTCATTTTATACTTTTATACTATTTATTTGGGTGTAATTCTTTTACCATTTATTATGAAAATCTGCATTGTTCAGAGAGGAAATGTTTGTAGCTGAGGCTAAAACCTTGATAGAGTTCACAGTGTCAGTTGTGTTTCTAAACATAATGTACTGCTGGAAACTTCCTGTTTCGGAGTCAGAAAATAAGTCAACAAAAGAGTCTGAGAGAAGTAATGAAAACTGACATCTGTACAATTGTGTTCATGGCAAACCAATATGAAGAGGTTTGGATAAAATGATTACCTTAAACCAGTTAAGATTAAAATGTTTTTGATGATTAAATAATCAACATCAAGAGTGTGTGTGTGTGTGGTGGACAAACAAAGACATAATGGGGCTTCTGGACCCTGCTGTTCACACAGGACCAGTTCATGTTCCAGCTTGTCCCTTTTCCTCTTTTAGTGTGCTGTCTAGTTAGCAGACGTTCTCGTCAACCAAGCTCTGCTTCCTGATTCAGCTTAATTGTGAATCCCATGGTGTGTGAGTGTGTGTGTGGTGTGTGTGTATGGACACACAATTACGTGTGCGTGCACACGTAATTAAGGATAAGCCGTACACTGGCAGTAAATGGGTAAACTAAATGTTGCGTAATAAGCCTGGACAGCTTTGGAAGTTGTTGTTGTCGCCATCCAATAATTATCAATCAGATTTCTGATCAAATTGCATTTGTGATTTATTTCATTCTAAGGTGCAACATAGTTAATTGAGTGCTTTCAAGCTTATGGCTTGTATAAGCCATTCTATTTTATTGTTACTCCAATGCAAAAATCATTGTTGTTTCAGTCTAATGCATTGAGATATAGTTGGGGTTATCCCCAAATCACAATCTGTTGTCTTCTTCCTTACTTTGTGTACACACTCACTGGACCACGTCTGGTGGAAAACCCACTATAAAACCCCTATGATGGAACTGAAATACCACGTATTTTGCATTGGTTGGCATCACAATAATTATTGTAGGCGTTGGCACATAGTAGCCTATTTATAGCCACAGCAGTGCTTTGTGCTAAATACTAATGTCAACGTGCTAACCACAATGGCAATGCTAACATGCTGGAGTTTAGCAGGTATGATGTTTACCATGTTCACCATCTTAGTTTCGCATGTAAGCATGCTAACATTTGCTAGTTTGCACCTAAAGGATCAGTGTGTAGAGGTCGGTGGCAGTTATTAGGCTCGCAGCAGGAGGCGGTGACAAATAGCTGTGGTCACATACAGTTTCTAGCAACCTTCACACAATGTACAGGAAGTCAAAGAAATGTTTATATCCTGTTAGATCTATGGGCCTGTAGTTTTTAGACACCGTTTGGATATATAAATAAAATTTATTATTATTATCACAATTATTTACACAAGAAATGTTTATAAACAGGTTAAACCTTCATCCTACAATCTAGAGTTAAATATTAAATTCACACCCTCCATGAAAACATGGTGCTTGTCAGCTCTTTGACCATGCAACAGCCAGGCGTTTATTGTCGTGCCCTGGGTCTTGCAGTCAGTGGAGAGCAACTGGCTCTAAAAACTTCGGCCGTCTCCTGAGGTTATCGTTCCACACACGCCAGAGCAAGTCGACATCGAGTCTGACACAAATCTAACCGGCATGCATTGTGCGGTGATCGCTGATGATCAGTTCTGCGCAGGCCTGGCTCATCTCAAACAAACCTACAGATCGTCACCATTTAAATGCAGCCTGTGTATAGGAGTGTTTAGGAGAAACTGAAAAACCCATGAATCTTGTGAAAACTCCAAGAGGCCCAATCTGGAGAGTTCGTCTGTTTTGGGCTACTGCAGAAACATGGCGGTCCAACATGGCGGACTCTATAGAAGAGGATCTGCTTCCTCTGTAGATAAAAACGGCTCATTCTAAGATAATGAAAAAACACAATTCTTATTTTCAGGTGATTATAAACTAATTTAACATACTAATGAGTATTACATAAAATTTCTGCAAATAGATCCTCCTACATGTTACACACTGAACCTTTAACGTAAAGTACAGCTGAGGCAGATGAGGTAGAGTAATGTCATTAGTTTTGCAGGTATTTGTTGTTCTACGGCTGCACAATTAATCAAAATATTATCAAAACATAAACCCAAAAAATTCACATCAAGAATTTCAGTGTTCAAGTTAAATATGTGATGCAAACACTATCCCTCCCGCACTAATCATGAATCATGTCGCACCCTCAAACTAATCACAATGTCACGTTTTTACCATATAGGGCAACCCTACAAAGAATGGTAGAAATGATCAGTTTTATCTGATGTTCCAGCCGATGAATGACTTAAGATTGTTGAGGGGACATGGTTGAGTGTACCAAATGTGCTGGCAATCCATTCAACAAATTTTGAGGCTTAAAACCACAAATACCAACCTTATGGTGGCGCTAGAGGAAAAACCATTGGATTCACGCCCAACTGCAATTTGAGCTACATTCAAATAATGCTGTATCTGACACCGAAAAAGACTCTTATGACTACACCACTACAGTACACCTGTCTTTTCCCAATTTTTCTAAAAACAGGAGAAAGAGACACACATAACTCACCTATTCAGAAGGGACATTTTTAAAAAATAAAATAAAATTAAAATCAGTTTTTATTAGTTAAGTTACAGTCAGTTTTGTTGGTGCAGTACTTGAGTCTGTCTGGACTGACAGTTTTTATCACCTGTGAGATGAACATTATTGACTCTAATGTAGATGAAATGAAAACTTCCTCACTGTAAACGTTTAAATGTTGTACTGTCTCTTTGGGAAGATTCAGTTTTCCAAGTATCCAGATAGTGAAATAACCCTTTTTCAAAAAGTTAGAGAAGCACAGACACAGCTTGAACAAAACAAACCTGATAATTACCTGATCCCTCAGTTGTCTCCACCGCTCAAAAGCTACACTGATGTTGACTCTGGTTTGACCTCTTGCTTTATCCAAACTTTTTGTTCCTTACCTTTTGTACCTCTGTGTTTCTCTTCTTGTTTTGTTTAGCGGTCTGAATAAAATGATTGGATGGCCTTATTACAGGCTTGTGACTGCAGGGTTTTTTGAGAGCATTTGATTTATTGATTTATGTTGAAAATGTAAAGAGAATTTTAACAAATATAACAAAAAATGCTTCTGAAACAAATTACCTACCTTAGCTGACCTGTGCTTTTCCTGCTGTGAGTCTATGTGAGTCTTACAAGTTCCTATTTAAACTGGAGACTTGAATTTGGACTTGGCCTATGAGGACTGAAGACATTACATGCACATGATCTTCATAATTAGAACTCAAATTGGACTTGAGCCGTGGCACCTCAGCTACAATGCTGCATAAAATGTCATAAAAATGTTCAAAATGCAGCAATCAGAATGCATCAGTTGTCACTCACTTTAAGCTGCTGCTGAAGAGTTATATTGCTTAGTGGGAGAGTTACATTTAATTACCACTCTGTCAAAGTAAAATCAGTTTGACACTTGTGGTGAACTTGTTAGCTGCTCAAATATCACTTGTCTGTGGAGTCAATTAAGGGTGTGAAATAAGAGTTTATAGAGGGGGCTCAAAAACTGCAATGCATGGTTGATTTGGAAATTCTACAAGGAGTGTGAGAGGAAAATCATCCTGACTTTCAGACTTCTAGGGTGGCCACCTTTTTAAGCAAACAACCTGGGTTCAAGCTCCAACAGCAGAAAACATTAAAATGTACAGAAGCAGGTTACTGAATCTGTGCCAGCTTTAGCAACGGGGTTTTATAGCTGAGTCTGTGCTCTGACCACTCATACAACATTGGCAAGGAGAAAAGTTTAATATCCATGGGGGTTAATGAAGATGTCACAGTGCCCCCAACCCCACTTGCCTGCTTCATTTATCTCCAGAGACTAACAATTTTATTTAGGAATATGCTCCAAGAGCACAATATAAACTAAAAATACCAGAGTTTAATACAGGAGACAAGCTAGTGGGCAAAAGACAGGTGCAGGACAACAAATTCAGGAGTCTTAGTAGAACAGACATTTTTATGGTGCATATTCCAAGAATACACCCAATTGACATACAAGGAGTCCCAACCCTGACCCCCAGGTGCATGGAAAGTTAGTGTCCATACATTCCTTGTCAGAGTAAAGCCCCGATACATTTCTGACATATGCTTTGAAAGTCATGTAGGGTTACACAGAATAAAATACTACATTTTATTGGGAATATCATTTGGGTTGCACCCATACTGGCAGCCCTTGGCATGGAGCACTTGCAGCCGCCACAGGAGAGTTTTTTTTGGCCCCAATCCCACTCTGAGACACACGGGTTTGTATACAGGTGCTCCCAGGGTGTCTGAAAGTCAC